ATCAATTGGTTGCCTCCCGCACAGGCCCTGAACAGGGCCAGGGATCAAGCCTGCACCTGAGGTACATGCCCTTGACTGGAATTGAACCCAAGATCCCTCAGTCCGAGGGTGAATGCTCTAATCATTGCACAAAATGGGCTGGGGTACAACCTGCCATTTCTGAGTGAAAAGTCCATCACTGAGAAGCAAAGGTTCTGTATGACTCTAGAAATGATCTGGTCTCTGAAAGCCTCTGCAGCTATCAGTGCCCTGTGCCTCACACTCTTTGTAGTCTATGGTGAAGAGCAAATGACACAATGGATGTGGAAGTGCCTTCTAAGCTATGAAGTATGTAAAAATTATTCAAATACGACAGCAAGAGCTACTTAAGTGTGAGTAAAGCATCAGTACAGTCACAGTGCCAATATGTTCCAGTGGGATTTTGGTAAGTGTTAATCAGTGAAGGATTGTCTGACAATTTCAAAATTTTCTACAAAGCCACGGTAATCAATACTGTGGTACTCTTATAAGGATAGATATATAAATAAAAGGAACAGAATTAAAAGTGCAGAAGTAAACCTTTACACTTACATCAGTTGGTTTTTGATAAGGCTACTATTATGACCCGGTTCATGTCACCCAAAATCTGTATGTTGAAGCTCTAACTCCCCAATGTGACTATATTTAGAGATAAGGCATTAAAGGAGGCATTTAAGGTAAAATGAGGTTATAAGGGTAAGGCCCTAACCCAACAGGACTAGAGTCCTTATAAGAAAAGGAGAAGACACCAGGAGTGTGCTCGCACAGAGGAAAGGCCATGTGGGGACACTACAAGAAGGCAGCCATCTGCAAGACAGGAAGAGAGGCCTCACCAGAGACCAACCATACCAGCACTTTGATCTTGAACTTCCAGCCTCTAGAATTGAGAAAATAAACTTCTGTTGTTTAAACCACACAGCCTGTGGTATTCTGTTATGGCAGCCTAAAGTGGACTAATACAGCTACCAAGATAATTTTACTGGAAAAGAATAATCTTTTCAACAAATGGTTCTGGGACAATTGGATATCACATGCAAAAGGATAAAGTTGGACCCCTACCTCATACCATATAAAAAAATTAACAAAAATGGATCACAGACCTAAATGTAATACTAAAACTGTGAAACTGTTAAAAGAGTAATAAATCTGTGTGACCTTTGGTTAGGCAATGGTTTCTTAAATATGACACCAAAAGCACAAGTGACAAGAGAAAAAATAGATAAATTAGACTTCATCAAAATTAGAAACTTTTGTGCTTCAGAAGACACCATGAAGAAAGTGAAAAGACAAACCAACATAGTGGGGAAAAATATTTTCAAATCATATATCTGACAAGGCATTTGTATCTAGATAATATAAAGAACTGTTACAACTAAACAATAAAAATACAATCCAATTTAAAAATAGGCAAAGAGCCCTGGTCTGAGGTTCAGTTCCCAGTCAAGGGCATGCACCTGGGTTGCAGTTTTGATCCTGGGCCCTTTCGGAGCGTGTGCAGGAGGCAACCAATTGATGTGTACTCTCACATCGATGTTTCTCCCCCCCTTCCACTCTCTCTAAAAATCAATGGAAAAAATATTCTTGGGTGAGGACTAACAAAAATAAATAAATAAATAAATAACTATAGGTAAAGGATTTGAATAGACATGTCTCCAACAAAGATATGTAAATTGACAATAAGCACAAGAAAAGATGCTGAGCATCATTTGCTGGAAAATGCAAATGAAAACCATAATGAGATACTACTTCATACTCACTAGGATGGCTAAAGTCAAAAGGATAGGGAATAGCAAGTGTTAGCAAGGACGTAGAGAAGCTGGAGCCCTCATAATCTGCTCATGGCGATGTAAAATGATGCAGCCACTTTGGAAAGCAGTCTGGTAGTCCACCAACAGCTAAACACAGAATTAACATATGACCCATATCCCCGTGGAATTCCAATCCTAGGTATGTACCCAAGAGAAATGTCCATACAAAAATTAAACATGAATGTTCATAACAGCATTATCCAAATAGCTACAGTGGAAATAATCCAAATGTCCATCAACTGATCAATGAATAAATAAATGTGGTATATCCATTAAATGAGATATTACTTGTCAATAAAAAGGAATGAAGTACTAATACACCCTTTGGCATGGATGAACCTTCAATACATTATGCTAAGTTACAGAAGCCAGTCACAAAAGGCTACATATTATGATCCCATCTATATCAATGTCCAGTACAGGCAAATCCATAGAGACAAAAAGTAGATTAGTGTGTAAGACAGAAAGAACAGCCCGGCCAGGCGTGGCTCAGCAGTTGAGCAGCAACCTACGATCCAGGTGATCAAGGTTTGATTCCTGGTCAGGGCACATGCCCGGGCTGTAGGCTGGATCCCCCAGTCAGGGGCATGCAGGAGGCAGCTGATCAACGACTCTCTCATCATTGATGTTTCTCTCTCTCTCCCCCTCTCCTTTCCTCTCTCTGAAATCAATAAAGATATATTCAAAAAAAAAAAAAAGAACATCCAATGCAAAGGTCCTAAGGTTTCATTCAAGACACTTTTATGTTCATTTCTTTTTTTTGTTTTTAATCCTCACCTGAGCTTTTTCCATTGCTTTTCAGAGACAGTGGAATGGGGAGAAAGAAAGAAACATTGATGTGAGAGAAACACATTGATTGGTTGCCTCCTGACCGCACCCCAACCAGGGCCGAGCCTGTAAGCGAAGTATTTGCCCTGGGCCGGAATCAAACTCGGGACCTTTCAGTCCAATGACTGTCACTCTAACCACTCACCCAAACCAGCTAGGGCTAGGTTCATTTCTTGATAGTGGCCTACATGGTTGCTGCTTGATCTTAAAAGCACTGAAAATTAAAAATCTATGGAAATGGAAAGGCTCCTCAAAAGTCAATTCAATAACCATGGATTTGAGGCTGATTTTCTTTAAACCACTCAGTCAAAACCAAGATAAAGGGTTATTTCTTAAAATCTCCAGGAAAGAAGAATCCAGTTGCTCTTGGAAGAATCCAGTCACTAAATAATCTATCTTCTTGTACTTCAGACCCACATTTCCAACTACTGCTACACATTTCCACTCAAGTCTATGGAAAACTCACTCAGCATGTATAGAGCCAGGTTTATTACACAGCGGGCAACTGTTCCTCTTTGGTCAAGCATCCACTCCACAATCTTTTGGCAATAGCAACCTGACTTCTTTCTATGCAATTACCCCTTCCCCTTAGATATGGTTTGACGATCCCATTAATCAAGGGCCTGCCTATCCACTGCTAGCCAAGGAAATGGGGGTGAGGGGATGGAAGGCGGGGTGCAGGAGAAAGGAGACCCAATGCTACCTCCCTGCAGAGTGGATGATGAGCAACCAAACCCATGAGGAGCGTTCACTCTCCCCCATGGCAGCGCCTCGCCACCCAGCTGCCTACTGACTGCTGTAAGCCTGGCTCTTCATCTTCTCTTTGGACTCAGGAGTACCCTCGTATGTTAGTCATTTCCCTTCTTGCTTATACTAGCCAGAGTCCAATTCCACTGCTTTGGAACAAAGAACCCTAAGTTATACACATTATTTTTGATGCATGCTGTCTCAGTTAATGTCACCATCAACCTCCTAATAACTCAAGCTTGAACCCAAGTCACCAAATCTTCTCCTATTCCTTCGCTCAACTGGTTGACAAGTGGCAAAAATTCTGCCTTTCTCAGGTAACAATTCTTTTCATTCCAATTGTCATTACCCTAACTCAGGAACTTATTATCTCTCACTTGAGATACTTATTCACTCATTAAACGAAGTCACCAGGGATTTTTTTTAAAGCTCAGACCAGATTATGTCTCTCTCCACTTAAACTTCTGTGGCTCTTCTCACAGTCTGGCATTACAGGCCTTTCATGATCTGACTGTCTACTTCCTATTCCAATCTTAATTTACTTATAGTCCATTCTCTAAAATTTCAGGTGATTTCCACAAAATCTTGAAGGTAGAGGTAAAACATGTTAAGAATTTGATCTTATGTAATATCTGAGATTTTCTTCAAAAAAATATAGGATGAGAAAAATATGGGAAGGGGTTGTAGATTGGGGTGGGGCAGGATTGGCTTGGGTTAATGGTTGTTGAAGCTGGATTATGGGTATATGGGGATTCAACATGCTATTTTGTCTACTACTGTGTATATTCAAAATCCTCTAATAAAAAGTTTTAAAAGTCTTCAGTCATTCAAGAAAGGAGTCCACTGATACTATTTCAGTCCTGAAGGCAATATAGAAATACAGGTTCAAACTCTTTTTAATATAAAAATAAATAAAAGTAGGAGTCCAAAAAGGAACATAGAAAACTGGACTGACATAACAAAATATAGGAATAAAAAACCCCAGGAAATACAAAAGATGACATGAATAAAATCAAACCTAGCAGTTACCACAACAAGAAAAATGTGGGTGGGCCAAATTCTTCTATTAAAAGGTAAAAACCATGGAGTTAAAGGACAAAAGCTATGTTAGACAATGTACTTTACAAAAATGATACACTACATCAAACAAATCCTAATTATTCCCTCTAGGCAATAAAATTCCATCTTCAAAAGCATGCATTCATACCTGAAGTGATTCCCACTTAGAATCTCAAGACCTTCAGTCAAGGCACAGTACAGGCTGGTCTGGGCTCCCTGCTGAGGGGTCTTGATGAAGAGGGAACAGAGCCGCCACATCCATCTCATGAAGAACGAGTGCCGGGTCAGTTCAGAGTGCACCGTGCCAGGGTGTACAGAATACACTGAAATGCCAGAGCCTGACGGGGGTGCCACAGAGAGGAGAAGACAGGGCTTACTGCTGCTGAATGGCTGACAAGAGCAGAGGACATGAATCAACACTGCCCAGTTTCAAATCCCAGCTCTATCGCTTATTAGCTGTGTGACCTTGGGCAATATCTGGAGGTTGTGACCCAGTTTCCTCATCAGTAAAATGGGAGTAATCATAATACCTGCACCTTACAGGACTGTTCTGAGGATTAAATGAGTTCATATGTAAAAGAGCTCAGAATAGCGTCTGGTGCATTTATACATTTATAAATGCCATTTTTAATATGCTATTTCAGGTTCCCAATTTTTCTCTGGAAACCTTGGGGCCAGAAATGTTTCCAGTTTTTTTCTTTATTGTAAAGGTAATATGATACATATACATATACTGTCTATTACCTACTCTCCTCAGTACAGGTGAAGTTTTGTTGCCCAGTGTGTTTTGGTGTCAAGCTTATGAAAAACCTGAATTTTCAGGCCTTTGTAGATTTCACAAATTGCAGATAAAGGACTGTGGACTTGGATTTTTTTCAACTCGAGATCTACACTAAATGACCCATATTTTAGCCCAGCTGGTGTGGCCTAGCAGTTGAGCATCGACCTAGGATCCAGGAGATTGTGGTTCGATTCCTGGCCAGGGCACATGCCCTGGTTTTGGGCTCGGTCCCTAGCAAGGGGCATGCAGGTAGCTGCCAATCAATGACTCTCTCTTATCATTGATGTTTCTATCTCCCTCTCCCTTCCTCTCTCTGAAATCAATAAAAAATATTTTTTAAAAATGAAAAAATGACCTATATTTTATACTAAATGTTCTAACCATAATGGCCTTCTGTTTTTCAAACTGAACCCAGAACTTCATGCATTCTCCCCCTCTACCTAGAATGTTTTTCAGCCACCTCATGCCACCCACACTGTAACCCATTTAATTTCTAACCATCCTGCGAGGGCTCAGCTTGCAGCTCACTTCCTCAGAGAAGTCTACCTTGATCCCTCAGACTGAATGAGGCTCCCCGCAAATCCGTTACAAGTCCTCATACTTCCCCTTTATAGCTTTTACCACAATTACAACCACACAACAACAACAAAAGGGAAATTATCTAGATGCTAAGAAAATGAATAAATAAACTAAGACACATCTACATTATGAAATACAATGAAGCCAACAAAAGGAATGGGGTAAATCTCTATGTACTACATAGAAAGATCTCCAAGATACTGTGTTGGAATTTCAGTTCCTTATATATGATATATATATATATATATATTTGTAAATGCAATAGATGATTGGAAAGGAGTACATTAAAATAGTTGGCAGTGGTTTATTGAGAGAAACACAGAAAGGAGAGGGGAATAAGTGAAGGGTTTTTTTCACCTTTAACTCTATATACTTCCACATTACTTGAACTTCTACAATGAAAATTATTCATTACTAGATTGATTTTACATGTGACAGTTGTGTAAATACTTGATAACTGTCTTCCCCCGATTATATATAAACCAAATCAAGGAAGGGACTGCACCTGTCTTGTGCACCACTCCATCCCCAACCCCTAATCCAGTGCATAGAATAGCATGGGCACAGAATACTTGACTGTTGAATGGCTGAACGCATGACTCTTCTGTCATGCGCAGATTCCTTTTACTGCACCACAGCAATTTCCCACCTAATCCTCACATCTATCAGCTTCCTCACTCATGTAGCTCTGCTTTATTCTGATCCTCAAAGCTGAGCCCATTTCTCCATGCCAGGCCACCCTAACTCCCTGCCCAACCTTTTGGATAGTTTTCACCATCCTGATCCCGATCCATCCTGAGCTGATTAAAGATGTCATGTTCTGGGCACAGACTGGACATGTGAACTGAGCTGACTACCAGTTTCCTTCCTTCCCATCTCAGAGCTGTCTAAATGGTTCCTGTTCCTGAGGCTCAGGAACAATGGGGCTCCTGAGTCTGCTTCTTTAGGCCTGAATTCTGCCCACCTCAACTCCTAAGCAATTCCAATTGTCAACCCTGGATTTCGTTTGTCTTTACTGGAAATCCAGAGTGGATGATGCTAAGGAACTCTGTTTATTTGTGACTGGAGAGCCCACTTCTCAACATACATTTCCCTCTTATATGGCCCTTTGCTGTTAGGGAGACACCTCGCCCCCAACCCCGCCCCAGCACTTATTTTACCCTAATGACTGTATCTAGTGCCATTTCAGGTCCCTCACTTCTACTTAGTTTCACTATGAGTAAAAAACCTTGACTTGCTCATGAAGCCTGAATTTATTACAATACCTTGTGAAGTAGTCCCATTTTACATATGAGGAAGTAAGCCTTGAAAAGTTAAGTAACTTGTTGCAGGTCACACAGCTAGGAAGTGGTAAAACCAAGCTTTCAGACTCACAGTCAGAATGTCCCCATCCCCTGATGGCCACCTCTAATATTCAGTTGTGGGGTGCTTACTAAAACTAGACCCAGTTATAGTCATGGAAGCAGATCCTGGCCAGACAATAGGTTCCAGAAAAGTTTCTATTCCTGTGGCTTTTAGCTACTTCCCCAACTCATGTCTGCACACTCATTTCTTCTAAGCCTACCTTTAAGTCTCCGGGCCAGTTCCCGCGTGAAGAGAACGTTGGCTAGCTTGCTATGACAGTAGGCCAGACCTGCATTGTAGAATTTCTCGCCCTGAAGATTATGAAAGTGGATCCTTCCCAGGTGATGAGCGAAGGAAGACACATTCACTATCCTTGATGGGGCTGATTCCTTCAGCTTCTCTAGCAACAGCTGGGTCAAGAGGAAGTGACCTGTAAGAAAAACTAGAATTTACAGAGTTCAGGGCCAATGTAGAGGTGAAGGGAGTAGTGGTGAGCAGGGCTCAGCTATAGGAAGCAGAGAACTCATGAATAAGGCTTCTTGCCTCATTAATTCATTATCAACCACCAAACAAGTTCAGTAAGGGTTTAGGGAAACAGAAACAGTCAAAGACATGAGACAACCTTCTACGAGGCAGGTCTGGATTATGGGAATATGAACGTGATGTCCCATCTCATTCCAACTTTGAGCAACATCGCTCTTTAAGAGCAGGCACAAGGACCACAAAAAGAAAGCAACACAACCCCCAATATAATTAGGCTGTTGAAAAATGCTCCAAGGTAAGCTGAATGTGAATCACAGATGAAAAAGTGGGTGAAACCAAGTGGGCCTAAAGTTTAGCCCTGCACTTTCAGGCAGGAACATGATATTTATATATTATTTACTTATGGTCTATTATGACCCAGAGGTCCAAACACACCTCAAAGGCTCAATCTGGCCCCAAGTTTTCCAAGGGGAACTTCAGGTTCCCTCTAGCTTTTGTGATGAGACCAGATTTCTTACCCAAGTGGTTGACTCCTATATGCATCTCAAAGCCGTCTGCCGTCTTGGAGTAGGGACACATCATCACTCCCGCGTTGTTGATCAGAATGTGGAGATGTTTTTCCTCTGCAGGGAACAGGAGACGGAGCCATAGCTATTACACCTTAGCAGTCTGCCTCACACCCAGGCTCTGAAAATGGAGCTGCAGGACTTCAATCTTTCCTCTGTGTTCCCTTCATACTTGCATTGTTTGCATTGTCTTGTTTCATTCTAAGACTTTAGTCGAATCCTGCATACTTTTAAGACAGGGCAGAATTCCATCTTACACTATCAAAGGGCCTTTCCAATCTTTCCAATTCAGGAGCTACTTACTTACTGCTTCTGGGAAGTGTTCCATCCACCTCTCCCAACAGAAAGTCTTCCCAGCTGAATGGGAAGATTCCAAAGCAAGAGAAAAAAGGACGGTCTGTGTGCACCCCTGCCACTGGAATTCAGGCCCCAGAAGAAATACTGGTTTAACTTTTTTTTTTAATCTGCCAACTTTCTCTTATGGTTCATTTTTTCCTGTGGTTAGTAATTTCTGACTGTAGGTTCATTTTGGTGGAAGCTGTTTTCCTTGGGAGGCCTAGCTCCTTGGGTTATGAGAGGGTATGCCTATGGATGCTTTTGGATTTGCTTTCAAATGATACTACAGAGTTTTCTGTTAACTTCTCAGCTTATGATTCTTGCACTATTCGAAGGTGTGAATGCCCCCCATAGATGATGTTGACTGAAGGTTCTAATTTCTTGCCAAAGATTCTTTATCCATCTATATCCTTAAGAGATGATAAACTTCTTTGTCATGTCCCTCAGCTGGTGGTCTGGGCTTTTTAAAGCTTCTGTACCATGGACGAGAAGGCTTTTGTGAATCTCAAACTTATCTGAGCCTCAGATACAGCTTCCCAGCTCTCAAGGGCCTGCGGCCTCATCTCCAGACCCTAAAACCCATACTGAGTTCTGATACCCCTGTGAGATTTTTGTCTTTAGTTCTTACTCACGGACATGACTTTTTCTTCTTTTTTTTTTTAAATCCTCATCTGAGGATATTTATTCCATTGCTTTTCAGAGAGAGTGGAAGGGAGAGAAAGAGAGAAAGAAACATCGATGTGAGAGAGACAGCATCGATTGGTTGCTTCCCACACGCACCCCAGCCGGGGCTGGTGATTGAGCCTACAACTGAGCAAGGTATGTGCCCTTGGCCGGAGTTGAACCCAGAACCCTTTAGTCCACTGAACCAAACCAGCTAGGGTACGACCATGACTTTTTAAATTCACTTTTTATTTCTGCCTCTTGAGGATTTCCCTTTGTTACTAATGATTTCAGCTATGAATCAAAAGTTTTTGGTTATATTTATCTAGTATTTCTATATATTAGAGAGGGAGAGGGATCTTTTCCTTTTAACTAAGTCAGCCATGTTGATCCCAAGACCCACAACATAGATTCAGATTGTATACTCACCTGCTAAGAAGCCCTCAGCAAAGGCTCGAATAGATTTAGTATCAGCCAGGTCCAGTTTCCGCACCAATACCTGTTGGTTCCCTGTCATGGTCTGGATCTCTCTGGCCACCAATTCCCCCTTTTGCACATCCCGGCAAGCGATATATACACGGGCTCCTGCCAACCAACACATAAGAGACAAATTGTCAGCTCCATTTTTGAGCGCGTATTATAGACCTAACACTGATGCTGAATGTTATTTTCTATTATTTTATTTATTTTATCCCTACTCCACAACAGAGGTATCTGGTAAGTAAATCAGGAAAGAAAAATAAGTCAATAATATTCATTAAGTGTCCATTATATAGAGAGCATTATATTAGATTCAGACCAGCAAATCAGTAGGGCATTTGGAATGTTCTTGAATTCCAGGACTGGGAGGAAATTAATGAGAACGGTCATCATTGTGAAAGGTAAAATGGCTGTAGCAGGAGGGAATTAGAAGTAAATAAACTTGCCTCTTTGAGCCAGCTCTTTGGCTGTCTCCTTTCCGATGCCTGTGTTGGCACCAGTGACCACAGCCACCTTCCCGGGAAGCTGGACAGTTGATGTACATACCCTGCTGGATAGCATTTTCCTGCAGACAGAAAAGGAGAGCTCATCAGTTCTTCGCTTTTCTCATTTCAACCAGAGGTTCCTGCAACCCCTGTGTCTTCAGATCCCAAGGATGAGGTCTCCTTTGGTTCCTTCTACTGCTGTACTTTTATAGCAGGGGTGGTGAATGTTGGGCCCACAGGCCGTACGTATACAGCCCTCAAAATCATTTGGTCTGGCCCTGCCAAGGCAACCACAGGCAGGACTGGAAATTCAATAAACCTAAAGCTTGTTTCACAGCTAATTTTTAAATTGATAATTTTGTATGGCCCACGAATGATGTTATAGACATCCAAATGGCCCCTGGCAGAAAAAAGGTTCCCTGTTTTATAGGTTTAAGGAAGGTTAAAGGAAAGAAAACAAAAGTTTTCTGTTCTTACTCAAGAATAAAAGTGAGGCTATTACAAGGGCAATAATAATTAGAGCTACTCCCTACAGTACAAGATCTGGATGAATATTTGATCAGCCAGGCACCTGGCTTCGATTTGCGATCTTCTATAAGCTTAGGAAATCACGAGACTCAGTGTGGAAGAAGAAAGAATCAATCCACTATGTCAACTTATTTATAATTGGCACTTTATGGTCTTGATAAACAATGAATCCAACACAAAAAGTTAAAATTATGAAAGCTTGTCAACCTGGGACAAAATAAATAGAAAAAAAACCACACAAACACAATTAAAAATAAGACAAAGAGAACACAGAGGTACAAAAGGGAGCTGAGAGTCAAGTTCTGGTTTAATTAGAGTCCTTGTTCTAAAGCAATGCACTATCCTTTTCTACAGGAATGAATACAGACAGTATTTAGCAGGCCTCAGATTCTCTTCTCTGCAAATCTTGAAGCTCAAGTTAAAAGAATCTGTTGACCGGGAGATGCACTTTTAAAAGGCATTTCAGCCTTTTTAATTGAACTTGGAATTGCAAGGTACACACTACCAGCCATTAAAGTCACCAGCTTAGTGCACACAGGCGGATAAGAACAAGCCTTCCCTTCTCAGTTCCCCACATCCCTTCAACTTGAGCTCCAGGAGGGACAATGTGTCAGGATCTCTACTCAGCTCTTTCTTCTCCTTAACCAGCGGGAATGAGAAAGACCATCAACTATGAAAGTCCAGCTCCGACCTAGCTCTTGTGACCTAACTAGGTGGTTAGGAATGTGACTCCTGGAGTATAATCTTCCTCAGAAAAATCTCGCTGATGTATTATGAGCACTATTTTCGTTTCAGGTTCAGCTCTTCACTGAGACTATGTAGATGAGAGGATCCTGCAGGGGAAAGAGAGAAAAGGCAGTCGTTTTCCTCCGAGTAGGGGCACGCACGTGTGCCTAGAGGTAGGAGCGCTGAGTGGTCAGAGGGGAGGAAAAACACACCTGGACGGGGGGCCGGAGGGAGGTGGGGAGGGAAAGAAGAGGCGAGTTCGCGCCTCGGCGTCCCGGCGTCGCAGCTTCCGCGTCCGCCCCGGCCCGCCCAGGACCGCGTCCTCCCCGTTACTGGTTCGCCGTCACTACTGGTGACTTACTCAGGGCCAATCCGCAGGCCGCCAGTTTTGCGGCTCGCGCCTGATTCTCCGGCGACACTAAGCCGGCCGTTGCCTGATGTATCACCTGGTTAACAGGCTGCTACCCTCGGCCTCTCCGCCCCCCTCTGAAATCCCAGGGATAAACTTCGGCCCCGATAATCCTGCTCGAATGGCAGGATATCATTTCTCTCCTTCGCAACGTCTCCCAGAGAGAGAGCGCATCTCACGGTAACAAGAGACCAGGCAAAGGGGCTGCAGATGTCACCGTGCCCATCGAGGGCCACTTTCAGGAAGCAGAAAGTTGAATCGCTCCTTTGTACTTTACAGGCTGGAAGCGAGAGGCTACACAGGGCCGGTTCAAGGCGTGGGAGCGAAGGGGAAAACAGCCTTGAGGTCCGCGCCTTATTTGGGGTTCTGAATCCCCCAAAGATGTAACACTGAAGTGTCTGAGGTAGCCCTGCCCTCGGGGTTCTCTGGCGCTGGGAGCAAGGGCTGCTTAGACGAAAACAGGGGGCCATGAGAAACAAAGCTGGGGGCTCGGGTCTGCAGTCCCTTCCCACCGCCTGGGGTCGGAGGGGGTCGCCCTTCCCCCATCCCCCGCAGCCCGACCTCCAGCGACCAACCAAACCCGGCCTCCGCCTACATGGCGCCCCCCCTCCCC